CAACACTGGATCAGTGCACCAGCATTGGTGCTCTGCTACTAATAGTATCAGCACCACCCAATCAGCACAAGAATGATGTCACCAGCACAGAGCATTATATCACCACACCACCAATGGTGTGTCAATATCACCAGCAGCACAGAGCTTGACAATCACTTGTGTCATCACACTTGTATCAGCAGCAATAGTTCTTATTGCCAGTATTATCACCAATAGTAGTAGTTGCACTCATTTTTTGTCTGTTGAGCCTATTACTAGTATTTGAAACCCTCGTTTTTTGAATACTTCTGTAACTCTTGTTTGCTGTAGTAAATCTGTTCTACCTATTTTTAGGTTGAGCCACTGGTGGAATGTAAATGTCTGAAGAAGTTTGATTCCAATGCAGTGTAGTAGCATTGCTTTACAGTGGTTGTCATTGCTATCACAAAAAGTCTCCATGCATTACTAGCAACAATTGGCAGACTATTTTTATCATTTTAGAACAATTGTATCAAAATACTACTAGTAGTTGTAATAATTAAAAAACTTTTTTCTTGTTACGTTCATAATATTACTATTAATGGTAGTACTAGTACTCAACCATTTTTTGTATGAAATTATTGGCAAATCTATTAGAGGATTTGTATTAATTATTCCTAGATTTAAAATCATCACAATTCCTGTTGTCATTAGTAAAACACTATTTTAAGTACCCTACTGGTGGTTCTCAACTTGGAGACTGCATGGCCATCATCTACACTTATTACTGGTGAGTCCTTACTGGTAGTAGTAGTGTCAACAATATTGTACTTATTTGTCCTCATCATAAAACCAGCAACCATGACATTGATGCTTGTAAGCCCTAGCTGATGGCAGATCTATCTGAACTCAATGCTCTCTCTGTTTCTTTTACATGTACATCCACACATAATACTACTAGAAAGTCCCATCAAAGTGAACATCAGTTATTTTGCTTACCTGCTTGTGGTTCCCTTCCCCTTTGATGCCATCACCATAGATAGTAGTACTAGTAGACATTGGTAAACAGAAAAATCTTTATTGTAGCAGAACGTCAATATTTTGAGCAATAGCTGATTTAAAATAAAAATCTCCATTCAACACACCACCAACAACAAGCATCTTGTTGATATGTGCCGTATGCTCCTGGAGATTTAAGATATCCACCAGCTTCCTCCCCCCTCCTAGATCTGGGCCTTCTTCAACTAGTAGTAGTATGCTATCCCAACCAAGAATAAAAAAAGTCAAATTCATTTTTTGTGAATTTGCATTTTTCCAGGTTCTCCTTTCTCCTTCATACATAGTTGCAACAGGCTTTCACTCAGAAGGAAAATAATGCAAATGTCAATTATTGTATAGAGATGGTATTTGAATCTACTACAATACAGTTGTACTTGGGCCCTTATTTTTTGTGTAATGACTACTTTGGTGACTTAAAGCCTGGCTTGGTGTACTGCAGTTTACAACCAGGCATGTGTTGAATTTTATTAATACCAGTCTTACTAGTTTTTTGTGCATATGYTATGATTGCCTGGAGGTGCAAAGTGCCCATTGTAGGACTGGAATGCATTGAGTCAAACTAGTCATTACATGATAAAAAGATGATCCATTATCTACACACCGTGATATTCAATTGTATAACTGTTTTAGCCATGAACTGATAGTTTGAGCTGTATCTTTGTCCCCAACCATCCCTTAAGTATTATAGGCACTCTAGTCATGTGGGAGAGTGAGAGGGTCCTACTAGCAGTGGAATATATTGATATATGTGTACAAATCTGATTAAAAATGTACAATACAATCATGTTTTTTTAACGCCAACTCTATAGGATAGTATTTACCAGCTCCAACCTCAGAGTTTGACCTGAGATATTGTGGATGTCATCAACCAGGGTTGTCAACACCATCCTTATATTTGACAGGCTCAATTCTGTTCCTCTTGGTTTCTGATGCTGACACCTAACTGGAGGTTTTGAAAGTGGTAGTAGTAGAGCAGAGTCATATCTTAGGAAGAAAGTCAAGGAGTTTCTTTGATCTAGCAGCAATTCCCTGTGTATTTCCAATAAAATAGCTCATCTGGAGAAGAAAGCACCAGTAGAATTCGTAGCACAACAAGGCCCAGCTTTAATCTGCATTCTTGAACTTTGAATTGAACTTTAGAACTTGAAAAAAAGGATACAAGTACTAACTACTACTACTACCAACAACCAATTATTTGCAAGAAGAAGGAGGTCAAATTGGTATGCACATACTGTAGTAATGGCCTACAGAGTACTAATGCTACTACTAGTAGGTACAAAGATTGTGCAACAAATTACTAGTACTAGATGTAGACAGGTCAGAAACTACTCTTTTTCTTCCCGCAGAAGGGGTGTACAAGAAGAAGAAAAATACACCATTAAATTGATACAAGAACAAGAATCAACTTAAACCTCTTCTTCTTGTTGTCACTTGACTGAATTTGTTCAGCAGCAGTGGTGTTGGTGGCTTGATTTTTTCATATGTCACGTGCAAATCAAGCAGGTGTTTGTAATCACTTGTGCTTCTTACTAATATTGATACTCCTGGAGTTCTATTTGAAACATAACTTTACTACTACTAGTAGTAGTAAGTGGGGATTGTCCATCATTCCTTGTTGTCCATTATTTCAAGAAGTTAGTACTGTGGGGGTTGTGCAGCTGACTCATGCTGGAGGCTAGTACTGGTGCTTTCTTGTCTGAAGAATGGTGTGAGAGGGCATACTATCTACTAGTAGTACTAGCTAGTACTAGTAGTAATGAAAACCATGTTAATTTTGAAAAATCACACAAACAGTAGTAATTGACAAAGTTACTAGTACTAGTACTAGTACTAGTACTACTACTACTACTTATAGCAGCAGTACTATTTGAAGGACCTCATTCTGGAAATGTAGTTACTAGTAGTACTGGTACAAACAGAAGAACCAGCACTCATTTCTTGAAAGGTAGGAGTAGAAGTAGTACCAAATTGAGAATTAACCTTGTCATTTCTGGAAACCTATTAATAAACAGCCATCAGCCTTGGTATTAAATTTGTGCCTTCTTGACACTAGTAGTGCTGGATCCTCTACTACAAACACTCCTCAGAGGGAGGTGTCACCCCTTGGAACAGCTAGGAGCATTCTTCTCCCTAGTCAGGAGAAAATCTGGTTCTTGCCATATTGCCTCTTGTTCTAGTTCACGAGGTCAAATGTAATGTCAAGATTTTTAAAAAAATGTGCCTCAACATGCTTTCTGGTGAGGAGGAGGGTTCCATAGAGTCACAGAGCACCGCCAGGATGAGGATCAGCAAGAAGAAACAACAGGATCAAGCAACAGCACTAGCAGAATCACCCAAATATTGAGCTTACTTCAACTGTGAAGGTGCAAACTGTACACTCATAGCGGACCTGAGGAAGTAGTACTACGTACTCCTACTACTATGGGTATGGTACCATGCAATACTTGTGATACCGTACGTGATACGATATGCGATACTGCCGTCAATTCAATACTCCACGTACGTACAGTACTATTTGGTGATTCCTGAAATTCTAAATCCCTAAAACTCCAAATGTAGGGATCTAGAATTTCGGGAATCAAGTCATTCAATGGACAGACTGAGAGGATGCCAGCTCAATGCCGGTCTTTTCCGGAATCTGGAATCTTAATTATTTTTCAACGTAAAGACTAAAAAGACTCAAAACGCGCGCCACATTTTGGTACAAAGGAAAACATGAAATTTTTGATACTCAACAACTAGAGTAAATCAATCCACTCATTTTCTACTTATTTTCAGTAGAAAATGAGTGGATTGATTTAGGCTATCAACCATCCGACAAACACACTAAAAGACAAATAGAGTAAGACATGAACTCATTTTCTG